CTGGAGGTAACATCTTGCTTGAGACTCTCTTCAACTAAATGCTTTTTGTCTGTGTTTCCAAGCAAATTATTGGTCATTTTGAAATATATTTTATATATTGACAATATATAATGCAGTGCAGCATTGATTTAAAGAAAATAATCTTGAATTAAACCAGAGAGCTAAAATTTTATGGGTGAAATGGCACCATGGGGTGACTTCTCTTCCACCCCAATGCCTTCTCTTCTTCCTTCTCCTCCACCCCCATTCTAAATCCCATCATCATCATCATCATCAGGAGCCTTCTACATACACACCTCAAAGTAAGTGAACTTTTCTACCATTTTTGTTGAATTTAGGAAATTTTCGGTGAGCTGGAACCACTTACCCAAAAACCCATTGAAACAATGGTTTCGTTAATTTAACGTCATCTGGAACGGATTGAGTTCGTTAACTTACTGTATATATATATATATATATATATATATATATATATATATATATATATATATATATAGTATATATATATATATATATATATATATATATATATATATATATATATATATATATATATATATATATATATATATATTATACCTGTACAAGACAATTACCTCTGAATAATTTAACGTCATTGAAACTTTTGTTTATTGCCATATATTAATGAGTAAATTTGGCGAATAATTGCGTAAGGTGAGGCAATATCTAGTCTATAGTTATTCACCTAAAAATCAAAATGAATTAAAAGCTTGTGCTTTGTGATGTGGATGAACAGCTGAATAAAATTGGATACAGACAGTCCCTGAATTAGACCTGGACTCTGTTCGTAAGTCCATACAAAACACAATAATATCCTATACATAACAAATAATGTAAATACTGTACCTGCAAATGAAGTGATATTAAACAATACACAGAAAATAATTAATTACAAATCTTTGTGATAAATATACAGCACTGTACTATATTGGGATCCCGTTCGTAAGTCAGGGACTGCCTGTATTTATTTGGAGTTCAAAGGGTGACAGGCTCTTACAGAAATATATAGGCAGTTTGGAACACCTACCAAGCACTGGGTTTACATTTTCATTCTGCATCTGAAGATGGAGCCAGATGATCAAATGTCAGGTCCATGTACAGTTGTGGACATGAAGAATGTGGCAGGCAGGGAGGGAGGGATGTGGTGTATATGGAGGTGGTAATTAAAAGTCTACAAAAAATCTTTTCACACCAAACACTGATTTTATTGGTTTAATTATGAGGCAGGCACACTTTACAGTAACAATGTCCTGTAAATAGCTCAGTGGAGTACACCAAAACAACCAAAAAAAAAATGCCACGAAAGTTTAATGTTTTAGGCGACTTTTTACTGCCACCCCAAACATGACCTCCCTCTCTACCAAATTTTTTGGGTCCACAATTGTACCTTGGTCTACTCAAGAGAATCTGATCTCCAGAGCTGATAAGACTTTGGATGAATGACTATGTAAGGGTTATAGACTCTTTCACTGCATCTTTATAACTGAAATACTGTACTGTACAGTACAGTCATGCGCCAGTTAACGTCCTAGATACGTTCTTGGAAACGTGATGTTAACCGAAATGGACGTTGTCCGAAATTAAATAAACCTATTGGATTTATTCTAATGGGGGTTCCAGGCACCCAACCCCAAGTTTCCCATTTTACAACCATTTAGACCCACAAAATATATACTGTATATATAATGTTATGGTAAATATCATAAACACACATAGGCATGGCTAGGTTTATTACAAAGTAATGAAAAGGATAATGTAAAGTGGGTAGTCCACAAAACATGTAGCTATGTCTCTTTATTTGAGTGCCCCGGCCAAAGAAGTCCTTTTCTTCACTTCAGGACGCCTGAGTGTCCGTTTTCTCTTAATCTTAGAGTGCAGTACACCAGATACTTCTTTATTCTTAGTAGATGACACAGAATTTTAAATTAACCCCAATTGCAACTGGAGTTGCAATTGTTGAGGCAACTAGATATGTCTGATTACAGCAAATGTGTTATTGTCAATTTGTGGGTGAAAGATTTTATCCTCAATAGATGTAGGTTACATTACACCTGCAGGCAAATGTTTAAAAAAAGCCTAATCAAGGAAGCATATTCCTTTAACACATAATATCTGACCAGTATGGGGAGGATCATCGTGGTCTCCATCAGGGGGTCGTGGAGTGGTGGTCCAGCAGGCGCCACGGATTTGGGGGGGGGGGGGCACGGACGTATATGCGATCAGACGTTGTTCGGTCGGACGTTAACCGGCGCATGACTGTACTACAATTGTAAATAATGAAAAGGTTGTTAGATGTACAATTTATATTTTAAAGAATGAAGGACAAAACCATAGAAACTAAACAATGGCAGAAAATTACTGTAAAAGATGTGCGTTTTGATGGTTGGGAATGATGGGAAAAGAAAGCCCTCCCATTATCAGAATCCTCCGAATAATTGACAATTCAGTAGGTCCATTAGTGAAATTGTTTTGCTAGGATTACACCACTATATATAACACAAACACAATAATTTAGCAGCAATTAGTGCAAACACAGGTTTGTGGGTTACAGATATATGGAGACAGTGATTAAAAAACTTTTGGTTTTTGGAATTTCAGATAAAGGAACATTGATTTGTATTATGAAAATTTTACCTAACCAATAAATGTGACTCAAGTGAAAACTTACTTTCTCCAATGTAACAAGTATGAAAAAGTCCTGAAACCATTAAAATAAATCTTAAATCTGTCTACACCTTCAAATGTTACTGTGTTTACCTCGAACATAGGACTCCACAATATTCTGTTAACTCATTTGGAGATGGAATTATCAGTCAAGAGGAAAGAGAGAAAAAAGTAAACTTAACAGTGACCTCCTCTTTTCATCATTGTAAGCCCTTTCCCAATATACTGTAGGGTGATAAGAACCAAGAACAAACACCGACTCCTTCTTCATTTACTGTCATCCTTTCAGACTTAATACTACAGTATCCCAATAAATTACTCAATGCCTTACTCTTATATCATTCAAGCATAATACTGTTACCTATATGCCTATCCCCCTCACTTATTTTGCATCCCTCATCCCGTATTTCCATCCATCTCCTTGGTTTTCCCCTCTCCCTCCTACCAAATACTTCTAAACAATAACACCCTTTTTCAAAGACTTTTCATTTCCCATTCTCTCAATACAGTATATCCATATCACCATAGGAAACCCTGATCAGCACTCTGACAGACAAATCTTTTACTTCCACATCTCCTAATTTCGTTTCTAATTTGCTTCTTCTTGCATCCAGGGTCCAAGCGTCAAGCCCAAAAGCAATGTTGGCTCAATGATTCCCCTATACATCCACCCTTTTGCCCTCGACACAGCTTCTTCTCTTCTACTTTCCTTTTTCTACAGAGTACAGAATATGTATACAGTAATATCTCCGTTAGCCGGAATCCCTTAAACCCAAAATTCTCCAATAGCCGGAATTTAAATTTTCTCGGAAAATCGTTCCCAGAGCTGGATTTTTTTTTGAAAATTCCGACTTTGGGAAAAATTTTCTTTAAGACATTTTCCGGAAAATTCCCCCAAAAATTTATCGATAACCGTAAAACTCTCGGGACGGGGAAATTTTTTTCCGGGTGAAAGAGATGAAAATACTGTATGGTGCATTTTCTGGAAATTCTCGAGAACATTCCTTCGGTAACTGGAAAATTCGGGGGATGGGGGATATTTTTTCTGGGTTCGAGAGATGATGTAATGGGTAATTTCTTGAACTTCCGAGAAATCTCTCATTCCCGGAAGTGCTCTGCGCCAATTATTCCGGCTAATGGAGATATCACTACTTACTGTATACAGTATAGCAGTTTGGAAATCTGAAAACTTTTACCTATCATTATTGTTGATATCTTGTAATGATCAGAAATTATTGAAAGCCATTTGTTTACAAAAACATACACAGCATTCATTTTATTTCATAAATATTATTTTGAACTGTATAGGAAAAAGAAGTAAAAATGCTCCAAAATCATTTGCTGTTCTCTCCCTCTTGAGCAGAAATAAAATGTAATTTGCACAATTCCTTTCAGTTGGTAATTTTTAAACAAGAAATACTAAATGGAAAAGAGCATTTCAATGATAAGTCACATTTATAAAGCAAAGTAAATGTAATGTTCTGAAAAAAAAATATATAAATCAATTACATATCTATATAAGCTACCTTACTAATCTTCATCTTTAACTTCTTACATTAACATGAAAAAAAAAAAAAAAATCTGCAATAGACCAATGGGAACATCTCGGTAAATACAGTAACTTGCTGTTTGTTATGTGAATACAGTATATGATATACAAGTACTGTACGTATATACAGTACTACAACACTGTACTTGTTTATAATCCTTTAACCGGTTTCACTTACAAACACCATACAATAACACAAATGCAGTACAGTACAGTTCTGTACAATACAGTACTGTACTGATACTGTATTTTGTATTTCATAGTATTACAATAAACCCTCGATAATTCGGCATTTGATAACTTGGAATTTCACATGACTTGGCATGGATATGGTCTCGGAATGCATTATAGTATAACTCGGGAAATGCCGAGATATGTATAAAATTATCTGGGAAAATCTCGGCATATCTGGCCGCCTGCATCACCTTCCATGACTCTGTGTCACCTACCATACCTCTGTGTCACCTACCATGCATCTGTCACCTACTATGATGCTTCAATCTTTGCCTGCAGTACTCGTAAGTGTTACTTTATTAAATTTATTAATTCTATGTACACATATATAGGTCAATAATATTTTATTGATGTATTTTTGTAAGGGGGGGGGGGAGTGCCTCGATAAGTCAGAATTTTGGATAACTCGGCAAGATCAGAGCACCATATGTGCCGAGTTATCGAGGGTATACTGTATAGTCAAATTTTTTCATAATGCATAAGATTACATTTTACAGTTCAGAATCATTCAGGTAGTAATCACAAAGGAAAGTTTTCAAAGGAGGCACAAAATTTAATAATGCAGCACAGAAATGTCATATCAAATTAAAGTATTGTATATGTGATAACCATTCTATAGCTATGGCAGTAGGTCATGGTGGTATTGGAATAGGTAGGAGCCAAAGCAAACAAGTTACCTGGAATCACTAAAACACAAGTTCATAAAGGAGACACAATAATACCTGACATACGAGACTATTTATAACAGGTAACAACAATTCCATAGTTCTGCAAACAGCTTAACAAAGCCAAAATGTGGAGTACCATCAAAGTAGAGGTTATATAAAATAATGAATATATGATGATAATGCAGCTGAAGATGTGTGATGGGAGTGTTTGATATGACACTCACTATATGTGAGGCACAGTGCCAACTGGATGATGATAATCTGGCCCATGTATTTCTGGTGTATATGTGAGAAGAACAATCATCACCCATACATGCAAAAGGCACATGTATACAATGACAAAAACTCTAGCAATAGGGTAACGTCTAAGGAATACTCCCAATCTAACAGAAAACTTATCCAAGGTAGAGTAAGCACGCTTCACCTGTCGAGTTACACCCCCATCAAATGGAGATTCAACAAGAAAACTTGGTACACGGTTTCTTACTGAAAAGAAAGAGATACCCTTAAGTGTTAACAGATATCTGTTTTAAATTGATACTAATTTTAATAGCAGTAAAACCTTGATTTAACAGACTAATAAGGGGATAGGATGTCTGTTGGTGCTGAAAGCCCGTTATATTGAGTTGATATTTTTGCAACATATAATGAGTGGTCAAAAAATTCATTACAGTGACCTCTCGTTTAACGAACGCCTTGGTTAACGAAATTTCGGTTAACGAACTGCCTTCCATAAGGATCTTCAATTCGGTTAACGAACAAAAATTCGGTTAACGAATTTCTTACGAACTGACCTCAACATGTTTTTACTTGCACTGACCGGGCAACCAGCTTTAGTATCAGTCCACCAATACATTAATCGGTTCTAGGGCTAAAATTCCTTACTATTTTAGTAAATATCAAGAAGTTTATACTATTCAATAATTTTAAAAGTTTAATATTAAATTTTTTAGTCATTTTAACAATTATTGAACATAATTGAAGGTAACGTGACTAGTTTAATGCGCGGCATCCAGCCTCTTAACACAGCACACAGGCGTTAGTGTGTGTCTGTTTTCACTGGAGGTAACATCTTGCTTGAGACACTCTTCAACTAAATACTTTTTTTCTGTGCTTCCAAGCAAATTATTGGTCATTTTGAAATATATTTTACATATTGACAATATATAATGCAGTGCAGTGTTGATTTAAAGAAAATAATCTTGAATTACACCAAGAGAGCTAAAATTTTATGGGTGAAATGGCACCATGGGGTGACTTCTCTTCCACCCCAATGCCTTCTCTTCTTCCTTCTCCTCCATTCCCATTCTAAATCCCATCATCATCATCATCATCCAGGAGCCTTCTACATACACACCTCAAAGTAAGTGAACTTTTCTACCATTTTCGTTGAATTTAGGAAATTTTCGGTGAGCTGGAACCAATTACCCAAAACCCATTGAAACAATGGTTTCGGTTAACGAACGACCTTCTGGAACGGCTTGAGTTCGTTAACCGAGGGGTCACTGTATTCGTGACTGAGCGGCGGCTGCCAGTGTTCGACTCTGTGGGTCAACTCACTTTGTGAGCAAATTCCTGCTCATGCCTAAAGAAGGTTCTCACAACAGCAGTAATAGTAGTAGGAGTAGGAGGGTTTCCCTTTGGTACAGTATTTTCCATTACCAAATGCAAGGAAATATAGGATTGAAAAATCTGTTTGGTAATGATAAATACGGTTTGGCAAAGATGATGTGCTTTAAGGATCTGGATATCCTGGACAAAGTGTTTGATAAATTCTCTGCTGAACTGTATTATCATAAATCAGAGGAGGAAGGAGGAGGGAAAATTGGAGGGAATGCCTTGGCTGCCCTGTATGACTAAACTCCAGGGATTCTATGTCAACAGATTCATTACATGCCAATCATATACATAAGTTAAAACATTATTCATTCCTTTATTTTGTTCACTTCTATGAGAAAAAAAGAAAGAGGTAATGAAACACTCAGTTTGACAAAGATAAAGATGGATTTGGCACTGGTTGCAAAATTAGAGTTGGCAGCTCTGTCTCATTACCACAGCCCTCCTTCCAATGCCTGCCTCACTTCTGCAAGCTGGCCAGGCGCCACCACCACCAGTGTCCTACTGTCTGCCTCGATATTTTTATAGTTACACAAAAACAACAGAAATGCATGAAATCTAAATGAAATACTCACCATGTGTGGTTAACAGAGGAGATTAATTTGCCATGATCGATAGTGGTGACTTAGAATACTGTTATTCTGAGTAAGAGCTAACAGCAAATGCACCCACACAAAATTTGGACTGTTAAATCTAAAATTTGTTAAATCGAGGTTTTAACTATATTTGTAAAAGAAAATGTAAATTTGTTAATTATGGCATGCTTTACTAGAATGTGTGATCAGATAAAAGAATAGTTTTGCTGTTTAATAGACTTACATAAATGAACTTCACAGAATTAAAAATAAAATTGGATTTTTTATCAGCAAGTTGTCCAATTAAGCTTCTACAAAACAAATTTGGTTTTATATCTTACCATCATCTTGCCGATACAGTGTAGGAGGATCTCGATTCAGCATCTTTTGGGATTCTTGGTACTGTTGCTATAAGACATGAAAAAATAGAATTAGTTAAAAATTTTAAGAATTTAAGTATTTAAAGACTGCTGGACTTTATTTTAGAAGTCGTACTGATTTTTTCATTGGATCACATTTCCTGTGCAGTTCTGGTTGATTGTTTACCTATGGGGAAGCAAATGGTTGATTCCATTCTTCCATCAAGGTTTTATATCTATTTATCCCTACTCACTAATAAGTACCCTTTGGCAGTCTGCAACACAACACCTCCCCATAAAGCTTTGCAGAATTACTCTATCTCATCGTAACATTTCTGGAAATGCATCCTTTGAGTAAATTGCAGTAAAGGGTGTATGCGGCCCTTTCAGAAAAATTACAACCTGATTTGTGGGACACTACTGCAATTCTGTATGCTCCACATGAAGAATGAATTTGGGTGTGTCTACATGCTGGACTTGAATTTTCACTAAGTTGGTGCACATTCCTATCGGTTTGTGAAATAAAAATAAACTAGGTATGTATGTGAAACTTATACATAATGACCAAACCAGGATGTTGTGTGCTTAATTTTGAATAATAAAATAAATACTGAGCACTGAAATAGAATATCTTGGAATTGATGCCAAGATAAACCAGTCCAACACTAGTGTTATTATCCAACATCCACGAAGGAAAGCAAAAACTGCACAGTATTGGTCATACAGCATTATTACCATATATTATGGTAGACACCAGATTGCACAAGAATCAATCAAAAACTACAATGTACATAAACACTTATACTGTAGCCTCCACAAAATACTTGTCAGTGATCTGTTGTTTATAAAACTCACCTGAAGACGTTCCATTTGGATGATTAACGAGTGTTTTTCAGTGCTAAGAGTTTCTATGCTGTTCTGCTTATGGATTAGAGACTCTGTAAGACCATGGACACGCTGTTCCAATTCTCCTTGACTACTAGATGAACTCTGTTTGTGAGCCACCTGTCAGTAAACCATAATTATCATTAAAACCTGCCTGAATCTGATTACTAAATCCCCTTGACGAAACACCCAATGATCATGGAAAAAACAATTACCCTGTAATGTATTAATGCAATAATTTTCCCTGGTTATTCATAAACTGTGTATGAAACAGTAAATTATATTTGTAACAGGACAGTGGAAAAAACAATATTTTGTCTGGAAGGAATATTTTTCAGCAAAATTATTTTCACCTAAAGAAACTTAATCTTGTTTCTGGATTTAAAATACAGTAATACACCCACAGATAGAAAAGAACTTCTAAAGAAATTCCAAAACACAGTTCTGATCATCACAAGTATCCTCTTCAGTACTGTACTGTGAACTAATCAAGTTATGTACATTACACTGGTCTAAAACTAACTTGCTTTCTGAGTCGGTCTATTTCAGTGTCACGTTCTTGTAACCGTGAGGAAAGATGAACTTTCTGTCTTGTTAGTTCCTCATGAGCACAACGTAATTCCTGCAAAAGCCAAATGGAGATATTGTTAAAGAAAGACATGGGACTCTGAAGCCCGGCAGTGTTCCCCAACAATAACTAAATGTTCACAATGATGTTTATGACATGTTGCAAGATGGTAGAACTTGGTAGACATAAGGGAAACAGAAGAAATGCTACAAGTTGACCTAACTTGAAAGGAAAGTCAACATGTGTAACAAATGAACCAAATACGGAACAAAATATTTCCCCTATCCAAAAAGGTGGTTTAGTTTTAAAAATTCTACTTTCTTGTCTTAGGAACTGGAAAAACTGGCCCTAATCAAAGGCTGGAATAATTTTTATAATTTCATTTACAATATGGAGAAAGAGATCGAGGAAAAAACCTGATTGTGTTAGAGTAAAAATTTTAAACCTACCTCCTGTATCTGTCTTAATTCAGACTCCACCTCCATCCTCCTTTTTCGTTCCTCTGCTAAGGACTCTTCCAGTGATAGGGCATTCTGAGATGCAAGTGTTGCCTGGTCTTGTGCAGCAGCATCCATGTCAGAGATTTCTGTCATTAGCTGCCTCACATGTGATCCTGCACCCTCCAACTCTTCCCGTAAAAGGTCACGTTCAGCTCTAAAAAAATTTTTTTTTCTTCTAAACTTGTAAAAGTTGCATGGTAATGTGAAGTGCATAATGAAAAATAAGCATTTTAGTAAGCAGTGTTATAGGATTTCTTTAAAAAACAATATGTCAACTTCTCTACCTTATCTGGTGCAATTCTGCTTCATGAATCTCTAAATATCCACCACTGGAGCCTTCAACACCTCCATCTCGATCTTTTAAAGTTGCAATCAGCTTTTCTTTACTCTGTAGGATTCTACCAGCTTTAGCTTTGTATTCTGTCAGCTCTTCTCTTGAAGTTACCAGGTCACCTCGTAAAGAACTAACCTACAAAACAGCATTATAAGGGTGAAATAGTTACAGTATTTATCTCATAAAGCTTATAATCATTACAGTATTTACTTTACATAGAACAATAATTATCAATGCTTAAATGATATCACTTGATCCAGAGAATTAAGGGAACAGTTTTCAGTGCAGTATTCTTTTGAAAATTCTTCTGTCTGTATCCCTCATAATTATGAGAATATAAGATTAATTACCAAATATAATTTTTTTAAAGTCATTAATCCATTCACATGCACGTTTTGGGTAGCTTGAACCATATTTTCTGAAAATTTCATAAAAATTCAATACAGTACAGTGCACTGTTTTTTCAGATAAGACTCTTCATTCCTCATCCTCTTACTAAAACTACCTTTACTGTGTAAAGTGATAATAATACTGTAATGATAATAATACTGTAATGATAATAATACTGTAATAATAATAATAATAACTGGTCTTTTATTTCTCAAAAGTGCCAGTTCTTCTAAAGAATTCATAAGTGCTCGAAACAATATAAAGTAAAAGACCTGAAAGTAAAAAGAAATACTATTACAACAAAAGATCACAAATTGTGACAGTTCAACTTGTATCATTCATATACCCTTAAGTTTTAATACTTCCTAAACCCTGCAATTCTCCATCACTGCACCCTGTTCAGGATCATTAAAAAAAAGAAAAAAAAAAGAAAGGTCTCTAGTTGTTTCTTAAAGGCCTCCAAAGAAGTCAGCTGCTTCATGGATGCAAGCAACCGATTTTACAATCTGGTTGCTGTATAGGAAAAGTATTGAAAAAACAAAAACATTCCTGTACTGTTCCAGGCTCCTTAAGGCGTGAAGGATCATCACTACTAACCAAAATCATTTCAGAATGTCTAGTCAGTGGGATTAGTAAGTAGGCCACATAATGTACTTAGGCTCACGAAACATTAGTGTCTTAAAAATCATTAAACAGAGTTTGAACTTTATCCTAGGTTTAATTGGAAGTCAATTTAATTCGATAAAGAATGGGGTAATGGGAGTCCTTAGTGGGAGAGCAAATATAAGCTCTTGAATTAGAAGATTTAATCCCGAATTAAAATTAATAGCCAAGTCCAGACTAAACAAATCATTTACTTTAGTAAATATATATACCTGTATATAAATAAATATAAATATAAATATATATATAAATAAAGGTGTTGGGTTTTGGCTCATATCGTAAGCAGAAGAGTATGACTGGAAGTGGATTGGAGAAATAGGTGATGGTGACTTATTGTGTTGACGGATGAATAACAGACATTATACAGGAATTTGACCTGCTGTACAGTGTAAGGGGGGAAAAATTACAAAAAAGGTAATGCAAGTACATATTATGTACACACATACTGTAATTGCACAGATACAAATTGAGATGAGGATTGTGTGAACTTTTGGAACTCTTAGTCATTGAAGGATTTAATGTTTTAATAAACAATACCTGCAGCATAAGCTGATGTGTTCTGCTTTTTTCATCTTCAAGCTTACGTTGTGCCTCAGACAGTGCTATGGCTACTCCCTGCTGCTCCTCTTCTAACTGATTGATTCTGTGAATAAAATATTATTAATGATACAAAAATATTAATTATATAAAGATGAACAGTATTAACTTATCAAAGTGCAAAATTTAAATCTGCTCAAACTGGATAGTTTGAACACCCTTCTGTTTCAATAACTTCAACATCTATTATCTTTATAATAGGGTAGTTGTGACCCTGCTTGACCAGCTGTTCCCACCTTGTGGGTTAGCATTAGGAAGGGCATTTGGCTGTAAAATTTTGATTCAACATGCCTGATGGTAACTGGGTCACCAGAGCTATGTCCATCCGTGGTCTATGCCACATTTTCTGGGCTGGCACCCTGGGTTTGTGGTGGTGAGCAGGGTGGACATCCCATTTTAGTTTTACCAAACAGCTGCCATCAGCTAACCCATGCAAGTGTGGAAATGGCCATAAATGTTGATGAATCCAAATCTCCAATACACAAGATCTACAACTGTCATACCACATATTATACTAATCTGAATGGAAAAAATTTAGATGTGAATGTAAATAAAATGGTAGCTCAATTTATGGGTTATTTATTTTCTAAGCCAAGTTTTAAGGCAGATTTAATCTTATTTTTGCTTGAATTTAATTTTGTTTTCCCACTGTCTTGTTAAATCATATTATGCATCACTTCGTAAACTGAAGTATGCTTGCACTGGAACTAAATTAAAAATCACATTTAATATCTCGTAGCTTTGCATATATAAATGTGATTGTGGAATATAAACAGCCTATTTAATGGTAGAAAATGATTTAGTAAACATAAAGAACCTTACCATCGACCCCAAAATCAAAAATAGCATGAGTACAAAGTATAAACACTTACATAACTTATTGTATGCTAGCAAACCAGTAGAATGATGAAATAATGAAAATGAAGTAAAAACTAAAGTGTCCTTCACCTTCAGTCAGTGTGAGATAAAAACCATGTACAGTGGGTATCTCCAATATTCTTTAGATAGTAACATCTTTCTAAGTATGTTCAGAAACATTATTTACTCAGAATTTCATAACATTTAATGACTCATAAGTCCTACCTCTTGGTAAGTTCACCATAAGCTGAGGAGTGTTGTTGCCTCTCACGATCAAGTATGCCTTGAGTTTCTGTGAGTCGGTCCTGGAGGGTTTGCAGGGCATGGTTGTGTAGTCCACTACTTTCATTTGCACCTTCTAATAATCTGCAGTTTCAAATCCAAATTATGACTAGGATGTTCAATGTAGTTAAATGGAGCTGGAGTACATAAAAGAAAAAAGTACAAACAGAATGACTGGAAATTTAGTTTTAATTACCAGCATCATAAAAGCTGTCAATATATCTATCTTTTCTCAAATAAGGGGGAAGATAACAAAGCTATGGGCTATGACATGTGTGGAGAGAAACAGAAAAAGGCTAAGACAAATACAGGTATCCCTAGCTATCCGAATGGGTTTGTTTTCTTCAAAACCATTCATTTATCGATTTTCAGATTGCAAATAACATAATAAGTGGGCAAATAGGATTTAGTTCCTAAATGAGAAAAACAATATTATACCTAAATATTGAGATTATTCACAAACAACAAAAAACTACAATATCATACCTAAAAACATTAATTCAGTTCACGAACAACCAAAAAACTACAATATTATATCTAAACCATGACAAACTAAATTAACTCTTATGCTCAGGGCTAGGGTGTGGCTGGCCTTACCCCCAACGAGAAAAATGAGAAAAAATTAATCCCCCCCACCAAATTTTTAACCTTTATAAATGATAAAACAATAAAAAAAAACGTAAGAAAAACTATACATTGTCACTCTTTATTCTTCCATGGTGCCTCAGTGACGAGACAAATAAGAGGAAAGCTTTTTTTTTACATCAAGCGCTCGCTGTCACTATGCACTTAGGGGTTATTTTCCCACTTGCCTCTGTATCCGAGTTGGCCAATAATGCATATATTTACTGATCAAAATACTTATTTCCTATACATAATTCATTTAAAATAAATTTTTTGCATTACTCTTCATAAGAAGTTCTCAGCGAGACACACACACACAGTCTGTCGTCAGGCTTTATGTTTGGGAGACCACGTAGGTCATACAAATAATGATCAGAATAATAATTCCACAAATAAATACATTTATAACATAATCATTGCATTATTCTCCAGTAATACTACACTACAGTACAACTACACAACAGTGACCCTCGGTTAACGAACGCCTCGGTTAACGAAATTTTGGTTAACGAATTACCTTCCATAAGATTCTTCACTTCGGTTAACGAATTCCTTATGAATTTTTCCCAATTTTTTTTCGCCTACTTTTGCCTGCTCACCAGCTGTAGTATTAGTCCGCCAATACAGTACAGTAATCGGTTTTAGGGCTTAAATTCATTACCATTTGAGTAAATATCAAGAAGGTTGTACTATTCAATAATTTTCAAAGTCTTACATTAAGTTTTTAGTCATTTTAACAATTGTTTAACATAATTGAAGTACAGGGAACTAGTTTTTAGCGAGCCAAACAGCCACTTGACTCACCCAAAATGGCGTCAGTGTGTGTCCCTGCTCAGTGGAGGAAGCATCTTACTTGAGAATCTCTTGAACATAAACTATTTTTACATTTTTACAATACAATTATTGGTCACTCTTCCACCCCAATGCATTCTCTTCTCCCTTCTCCTCCACCCCCATTCTAATTCCCATCATCAACCAGAAGCCTTCTACATGCACACCTCAAAGTAAGTGTACTTTACTGCATTTATTTTGTTTGTATGTAATTTTCGGTGAGCTGGAACCAATTACCCAAAATCCCATTGAAACAATGGTTTCGGTAAACGAAATTTTTGGTTAACGAACGACCTTCTGGAACGAATTGTGTTCGTTAACCGAGGGACCACTGTACTTTTAGCAATATTACTTTGATAGAACATGATAAAATGGACAAACAATGAAAATGAAACAAACAAAAGTAGGTAATTACGTTCAGGAAGCTTCCCTGTGGCCGAGGTGTGGTGTGACAGGCAAATAGTCACAAGGGAACCTGATAACCCGCGCTGGGCATTTAAACAGTGGCGGGAAAAGGCACGTGTTCTGGAACGTCACCCGGGACGGGCTGGTCGGACGTTCTGAAACGTCACCCGGGACGGGCTGGTCGGACGTTCTGAAACGTCACCCGGGGCCTAAGGGTTAGATATATAATTATACTGTATACAGTTAGTACTGTACATTACCTCATATGAGGCAGTTCATTCCTGATCTTCCTTAGGTCTTCCCTTGTTCATAATGCTTGATTATTTCAACCTTGTTTTCAATTATCACAGGCTTATGTGGTCTCTTGGCAATGATGGGGGTAGCTGTGGAATCAGCACAACACTTGATTGCTATTGTGTAAAGATTCATGAAAGGATGGCACGAATGCACATGGATAAAGAGAGAACATTGCCAACACAAAGCGAATGGCCATGAGACAATATGGGCTGAGGGCAATGCGGGAGAAAGGGAGGGGTGATGTTATGCTACCCCAGCTGACTCTGGGGCACACAAGATTTTAATTTTCAATCAGACAATTTTTCATATAAGCAAATATCGATTTTGGAGAATAAGATAGAGGTGTAGAAATATAATTTTCGGACGAGAGAATTTTCGCAGAGCGAGGGCTACCCGAAGTAAAAATATCCAAATACAGGTACTGTAGTTGATAATACCATCCACTTGCATGCAGTTGTGAAGTCAATCTTAATACTTGCAATGATTCACAACACATCAATTCAATGGGCATAATAAGTTTAGCTATTGGGTTTGTTCATGTTACCACTATCACATATGACTCCATAATTTGCAATAAACTGGCATTTGTTCTCTTGTCTTCCCAGCACCTTGAGGTGCCTCCTGTATGTGACCCTTGTCTTGCTGCCATACAGCAGGGTGGGGAGGACCACTGCTTGATACACGTGCAATTTTGTAGATAATTTCAGCTCCCTACAGTTGAAGACACGGTTATGGAGTCTGCCAAAGGCTTGAGATGTGCATCTGATCCGATGTTGAATATCTTCATCGATGTCCATGGTGGTGGACAGGTGGGAGCTAAGGTACTGAAAGTGGGTAACATTAGAGAGAGTAGTACCGTTAAGCTGGATGGATGGTGGAGGTGTGGTTGAACCAAGGGCAGGTTGAAAGAGAATTCGAGTCATACGTGCATTCATCTCAAGGCCGAAGTGAGCATATGCATCTGCATAGGGGTTTAGGGTCTTCTGTAAATTGCGTTCAGTGTGAGGTCGTCTGCATACTGAAGCTCAGTGATGGAAACGACCGACACTTTTGTTCCTGCCTGGAGTCGTCTTATGTTGAAAAATCCCTTCAACCAGTACTGGATATCCACCCAGCCGACTAAATTGGCACTGGCACGCTTAAGGAAGGCAGCCAAGAAAATGGAAAAGAGAGATGGTGCCAGTACACACCCTTGTTTTACCCGTTTAGATGGGGAACAACTCAGACAAGGTGCCATTGTGCAGGACACTGCCGTTCATGCCATCGTGGAGTTGCCTCACGATGGCAATGAATTTTGGTGGGCAGCCAAAAAGACTGAGGGTCCGCCAGAGCTCTTCCCTGTTGACAGAGTTGAAGGCCTTATTAAGGTCAATGACGGCCATGTACAAGTCATGACGCTGTTCTCTGCACTTTTCCTGTATCTGGTGGGCAGCAAAGATCATGTCAGTGGTGCCACTTGATTTTTCTGGGAGGAAGTTTTCCACCTCAGGAAGAAGTCTATTTAGGACAGCAGTGAGATACCGCGGTAGATGCCACAGTCTCCCTTGTTCTTAAAGTCTTGGGGTATTTCCTCCTTCTCCCATAAGTTCTACAGGAGAGAGTGGAGACGGCTGGTAAGCAAAGGTTCATCTGCTTTATACACCCCAGCTGGGATTCCATTAGGCCCTGTGGCTTTGTTATTTTTCATCTGCTTGATGGCAGTAGCTACCTCATCCAGAGATGGAGGATAGCTGAGGGGCCTGCTAGGTAGTCATGACATGCACATCGGTGTTACAGTTGAGCAGCGAGTGGTAATGCTCTTTCCAGCGCTGACGGATGCCTTCTTCATTTTTAATTACGGAGTTACCATCGGATAAGCGGAGGGGGCCAAGCCATGAGTAGTTGGGCCATATATTGTTTTAGTGGAATTGAAAAATTCATGCATCTTGTGTTGATCCACAAGCTTTTGCATCCATTCATTAGTTTGCGAAGTTTGTGCTGGGCCGCCACTTTCTTCTCATGGAAGGTATCAGCTTTGGTCCAAGACTTAGGGTAGTTCTGCCAATCAGTGATAGCAGCATATTTACTATTGATAAGTACTTTGAACTTCAGGTCATTTTCATGAAACCAATCCTGGTGTTTTCTTTTGATCTGGCTGAGGGTCTGGTTGCAAATTTTACGCATGTATGCATGAACACAAAGAGATGGGAGTGATAAAGAAAGAAAGAAAGAAAGAAAGAGAAAAAATATAATAGCTGGAATGGAACCAATTATCGGACAAGGGAGAGACGGACTTAATCTCGAGAGAACAGCGGAATGGAACGGTTGAGAGAGAGAGAGAGAGATGGCAAACATGGCCTCACATGTCAGATTCTCTCCCCTCCGCGTGATCACTCATCATACCCATAAAGAGTCAAAAGAAAATCCGAGAATCATTCAAATGTCCAATTGGATAAAAATATGATCTAAATGTCTCCTGATAATTTTAAAATCTCCTTTCAGCACAGATGTGACCCTACGCTCGGAATGAGATATAATACTGTACTGAAGAGAAGGTTAATACCATCCTTTTACCAATAGGTAAAAGAGGAGTTGATTTATAATACTGTACTAGACTATTCCTAGGCTCAGGCAATTCCTGTGTAATCTCAAGTTTTAAGGTGAAAAAACCAAACAAATTCAACTAAAAGTGTAAGACAAATTATACTACCTGTATCTTATGGAAAATCCCTTTACAGTGGTCCCTCGGTTAATGAACACAATTCGTTCCAGAAGGTTGTGCGTTAACCGAAAATTTTGTTAACCGAACCCATTGTTTCAATGGGATATTGGGTAATTGGTTCCAGCTCACAGAAAAATACATAAAAAGTAAAAAAGAAATGCAGTAAAGTACACTTACTTTGAGGTGTATATGTAGAAGGTTCCTAGTTGATAATGATGATGGGAATTAGAAGTGGGGTGGAGGAGAAGGGAGAAAAGAAGGAAGTGGTATGGAGGAGAAATCACCCCATGCTTGATGCCGTCATTTGACCAATAAAATTTTAAGTTCACTAGGTGTAATTCCCTTTAAAATGGCTGGCAAGTGTAAAAGTGAGAGTTTTCGTGGTGCTGAGAAGAAAAAGAGAGAGTCAATTACTTTTGAGATGAAAATGAAAAGAATAATGCAATATGAAAATGGAAAAATAGTAGCAACCATTTCACGTGACCTTGGCTTCTCTCACTCGACGTTATCAACAAATTTGAAGGGAACGGAACGAATTCGTGAGGTAGTGAAAGGATCAGCACCTATAAGGGAACAATAATAAGGAAAAAAAGACAAGGTCTTCTTCATGAGATGGAGAAATAACTTGTGGAGTGGATGGAAGATCAGCTGCAAAAGTGTGTACCCTTAAGCCTTCTAACCATACAGGCTAAGGCAATAAGCCTTTTCGTAAGCCTGAAAGAGCAGGCAGGAGATGAGTGCGACCAAAACTTCACAGCAAGTCATGGGTGGTTCCAAAGGTTTAAGAAACGTTAAAAATTGCACAGTGTAAAGGTGAGTAGAGAGGCAGCAAGTGCTGCGGAAGCTTTTAAGGAGGAGTTAGATCGTGTCATCGTGGAGGGAAAATATTTGCCTGAGCATATATTTAATGTGGATGAAACTGGCTTATTCTGGAAGAGCATGCCAGAACGGACATACATCCACAAAGAGGCGAAAACCATGCTGGGATTCAAGGCATTCAAGGACCAAATCACTGTTCTGTGGGGGGGATGTAACTGGTTTCAAGGTAAAACCCTTCATGATACAGGTACTCCTCGACTTACGACCACCCGGACATACGACCGCTGCAGCCGTAAAAAATATTTTTCAAATTATGTATTTTCTAGTACCGAAAAGTTTCTGTCCCGTACGACAGTGTGGGCTGGGCCGCCTCGTGGTGTACAGTATCCACGCCATAGCCCGCTCAGTTGGTTTTTGCCCATCGATGTTGTTAATGATCATGCTGCATACTTAGTTTCTAATTCCCTTTAAAATGGCTGGCAAGCGTAAAAGTGAGAGTTCTCGTGGTGCTGATAAGAAAAGGAGACAGTCAATTACTTTTGAGATGAAAATATGAAAATGAAAAAACGGTTGCTATCATTTCATGCGACCTTGGCTTCTCTCATTCGATGATATCAACAATTTTGAAGGACAAGGCAGAGGCATTTGATACTATTAATAAGGGGATGCAAATATTTGAAGAAATGGATCAAAATGTTGAGCGTTTTGCAAAAGTTGACAGACTGATCCAAGATGCACTTGCTTGCTACAGGGAGATTTACAATGAAAAGAAAAGGCAAACTGTGCAGTCTAAATTGGACATATTTTTTAAGAAGTCCCCCACTGCTGTTTCCTCACGCCCCACCACTGCTGCCTCTTCACCCCTTAAAGATGATCCAATACCTTCAACAAGCAAATATGTTAGCCTGTCTGAAGAAATCAAACTTGATGACCCACCCAGCCCTGCTCTCCTCCTCTGTTTCATCCAATTAATGTAGTCCCCATGCTTAATTAAAAAATTATTGAGGGCCCGTGTGCATTCAGCTGACTACATTAAAGGTAAGTGCACAATAACACTTTATTCATTTTTCATTATTGATTACTTTTATTGTACTCTATTTCATTTTAGAATTTATATGTATTATTTTTTACTTTTCGACTCACGACCTGGTCGTCGGGACGGAACCCAGTCGTAAGTCGAGGAGAGACTGTAATGCATTGTTATTTAATTAAATGTACTTAATACTGTATATAAACGTTTATTAGGGTTTTAATAATATTATATGTCCCCAACTTACCAGCCAAGAACATAACTTTCTTTCTTAAATCACACAGATCAATTCTAATAATAATTTAATTTACACAAATCACTCAGTACTGCAATAAAGGATATAATTTGGGATATCCAGGTGTCCACTGTATTATCATATGGTCAAACTGACCTTCACCTAAAACCATCATCAATCACATATTCTACTACAGTATTATACATTTTTGGACCATATGTATATGAACATTGAGAAGGGGTAAAATCATCAGCTCTCAGCCCAAAATGAGCCCAATGACAACTCTATAAAACCTTTAGATATATTGTACTAAATGATTTATAAATGAAAAACACCCAACCTAAATAATCTCATCCATTAAATGCATATGTAAATATGCTCACCTTTTATTTTCAGCCTGCATTTCTTTTAAAGCAGCATCTCTTGTTTCTAGATTCTGATCTGCTTCCTGTAAGCGAACTCGTAGTACTGCAAGTTGGCTATCTTTGGCTCGTAGTGATTCCTGTACAAGAAAATCAAAAGTTGAATGGATTCCAGTACAGTATATTCAATACATGAACAATGAATTATTGAATTCACATAATAAGAAAAAAGTGTAAAACAAACAAAAGCTGCACAGGAAAGCTGAAAAGTAAATGGAGATGAAGGTATAAATGAACATGAGTGATGAAATGTAGAGTTATGTGACTAAACAACAGGATTTGCTTATGTGGTCTGGGCATATGGCGAGAACGGGAAGAGAATATTTAGAATAGAGAGTACCGACATATAGTTAGAGCAATGCTTCTTAACTTGAAGGCGTTTCAATCTTTCCAGGGATGCTGCAAAAGACTGAACATATTTCTGACTCAAAATATATATTCCCAATGAAAGAAATTCATAATTAAAAAATTGGCACAGCAGAGTAAGATAGGGAAAACTTGCCATTCATTAATCTCAATTTTAACTTCATGTAGTATTACCAGAGATGTCATTCTATTTCAAGATTCCCACACCAGGATAATATCAAAAAATTTTACATATAAAGAAGTCATAAAAAGATGAACATAAAAATTAAAAATGAGATGCAAAAACAATTGTTTGAATCACTGTCACCGTTTTCAAATTAGACTACAGGACAAGATATGTATTTCTCCCATATGTATTTTGATCTTATGCCTGGCAACAGGAGTGAGTGAATGACCACTAGTTAGAGCATCATCTGCTCTTGTAAATCTCCTCCCCCCCTGCCATATTTCACCGGATTTACTGTTATTATTAGAGATTATTGCTATAATAGTCTTTAATCGTGATTTATCATGGCATTGTAACCACCAAGCTACTGGGCCAAGCTGTAAGGTGTTATGGCTGTTTTTCAACTCGTATTTTTGGGTAGATATATTGTATGTAACTGTCTTCATTTATTTTTACTGTTACATGCACACACCATCCTAGATACATATTGTGAAAAAAGCACAGTATTACACCACAATTACCAATATCCTACATGTTGGGATGGCTATATGGCTCGGAAAGAAATTCTGTAAGTTTGATCTACATATCAACCCAGCTGGTGCTCAGATGCCATTCGTTCTAGAGACAGTAATTTCTACGAAGAAAAAATTGCCGTATGGCAACCCAACCAGCTCAACTTTAATAACAAAGCACAGAGTTGACTTGAGGGTAGACTCTCGCATTTTACCTACATATTGTTGTCTTGTTTCTTATTATTTGTGAGAGGATTTTCCCATTATTATTTATTTGTATGTGGCTTGTATGTGGTTTGTGTGTGTGTGTTACTACACTCACATACAGTACAGGTAAGAAATAATTGTCCTAGGAGCAAACACAAAGAGAATATACATTTCTTTGCACATGAGTTAGCTGTGTGTGTGTGTGTGTGTGTGTGTGTGTGTGTGTGTGTTTGTGTGGGTGGGTGGGTGGGTGGGTGGGTGGGTTATTATGGGGAAGCAGGGAGTGTATGCAAATGAGAACGGAGTTATTCTTTCATTTGGCTTTTATTTACTGGTTTGGCAATACAGTATTTTTTGTTGTTACTTATTTATTGGTTTTATTTTTATTTATTCCTCACATATCCTGCTACAGTGATATCCCTGTTAGCCCAATTGGAGCAAAGCACTTTCGTGGATGAGAAATTTCCAGGTAAGGAGACGACTTTCTCAAACCTTTTCAAGTTACTGGTAAAAGTTTTCGAGTGTCCAAACTAAACATCTTGCAAAGACGGACACTAGCCTACTCCCCCAGAACATTTCTGGGTGCTGGAGATGTTTTCCTTGAGTCTAAACTACTGGAATCCATAAATACAGTTCTAATTAAACTAGAAACTTAAATCGTTTATTACAATATTCCAAAATAGCTTATCTAAAAAATTGATAAATAAATATACAGGGTATTTAAAAATAAATAATATATATAGGATATTGGTGTGAGTGAAGCTGTATGTTACAACAAAGACTTATTTTCCACTCCCATGGAGCTGTGGGGGATTAGTGGGTATCAATGCAATGTTAGGTGGAGGTAGGATGGTGGATTAGTGGTCTCATATTACTGACCTGATGGAATGTCAGGTCACCCTTTCTTGGGTGGAGGATTAGTGGGTCTCATGACCTGAAGATTTCTTGAATAAACACGAAACCTAAAGTATTTTTAGAGAGATTGTGATAAGTACAGATATAAGTATAAATGAGCAAAGTTGTATCCCTTCAACCTTACATTACATAACATTTTAAAATATTGAGTGAGAAAGCAGAAAGGTGTGGGTAATTAGAGACATGGAGTGGAAATGAGTGTTGCCAAGCGCTCCTCAACAGCTGATATTTAACTCGCTACCATGCAGTCACACACACGCTTGCTCTCTCTCTCTCTGTGATGTGTGTATGTGTGCGTGTGTGTGTGTGTGGGGAGGGAGTGTCACTTTTTACCCCCCAATGGACCCTTCTTCTCCCCAAGCTCACAGCAAACATTATAATCTTTACTGTATTTGTGTTAAAGAGTTGAATTTGATACCATAAAGATCCTCTATGAGATGTTTCCAATACAGGTTGACAACCCTTTATCCGAAATTCCAAAAACCGAAAAGCTCTGAAAACCGAAAAAAAATTTGTGGAGCAATTTTTTTTTTTTTTTTTTATTAGCCCACCCGGGCACAGGTCACTGACCCACATCGGGGCCTGGGGGGCGAAAATGTAATAGTAATAGTAATAATAATTATAATAATAATAATAATAATAATGATAAAACAGTAATAATAATAATTATTCAGAGTAAATAAAATTTTTAATAAAAAATACACAAAAATAAAATAAGAACGATAACAATAATAATAATAATATTGTAATAATAAAATAATAATAGTCATAATAAAGAAATACAAGAATGAAAAAAAGATCAAAAGTGAGAAACACGACCTAGACCTATGAATTAATATTATTATTATTATTATTATATTTGAGCCCCCAGGCCCCAATGTGAGTCAGTGACCTGTGCCCGGGTGGGCTGATCCCTGTAAAAAAAAAAAAAAAAAAAAACTAACCATTCTGAAAACCGAAAAATTCCAAAAACCGAAATGCATCTGGTCCCAAGGATTTCGGATAAGGGATTGTCAACCTGTATATCCTTAAATGACAAGCTGAATTAGAAGGTAACATAAGTATTTGACTGTATGTGAAGGGTACTGGTAAAAAAAATCAATTGAAATACTCTGTAGCATTTGATACCATAATATCCTGACCAGATTTCCCTATGAAAAAGACATAATTTTTAGTACCATATTACTGGACTCATTTTGTTCACAATATTATGCTAAAGGACAGAAATTTTTATCTCTTGAGCAAACTATGAGATGTTTATACTCAAATTAATCACTATCTTGCAAGAATTCCAGCAATGCAAGTTATATTCTCTTAAGTAAAGTCTGTGACATTTTACTAGACAAAACTTTAAGCTTAAAACAAAATTCATCCCATTAATCGTTACCAACGCCATCTGCTCCCCCACTGCTGGCTGGGAGTTGGGAGGGGAGGAGATGGGGTGTCGACAGCCAGAAGGGGAGATTAACGCGTACTCAGGGATTATAAAAGACAGGGAGTTTAAATGTTTCACTTATAAAATATCACTGACTTAATTTAGCAAGCTTGCACTGCTGGATTTCTTGAAAGATTATGATAGTAGTAACTGTCTTGGCATGTCACCTCACCACCTGACTCCTGAACAAGCTCTTCATCAACTTCTTCATATCCTACAATGTGTTTGGCAAGCTCAACACACACACACACACACACATGGGAATCAAGACAACAAGCATCCAATGAGGGTCTTGTTGTGTGACTGCATGGAGGCGAATTAAAAGATCAGCTTATTACTTGGCAACACTGGTGCACGTTACCACTCCTTTCACTCCACCTCTCTAATCACCCACACCTTTCTGCTTTCTTACTCCATATTTTAAAATGTTATGTAAAGTAATGTTGAAGGGATACACCTTTGCTCATTTAAACTTATATTTATCACAATCTCCCTAAAAATACTTTAGCTTTCATGTTTAGTCAAGACATCTTCAGGTCATGAGACCCAATAATCCCCCACCCAAGAAAGGGTGATCTGACATTCCATCAGAAGGTCAGTAATATGAGACCACTAATCCCCTACCCTACCTACACCTGACATTGAGTCAGGTCAGGTCAGCGGCCCCCCCAAAAAAATACTTTAACTCGTGTCTTTATTCAAGACACTTTCAGAACATTATCTTGATTTTCAATCTCGGAAATTTTTTTCCTAAAGCCAGAAATTTTTAGAAAATTCCGGCTTTGGGAATGATTTTCTGAGCAAATTTCAATTCCGGCTATCGGAGATATTAATTTACTGTATATATTATTTTAAGAAAACTATGGTTATAGGAGGAAAATACACACCAAAGTTTTTTCCTAAATACTCATTGCTAAAATGGGGGATGTATTTTATATGCCATAAAATATGGTACTGTATATTCGGTGATTTTTATATCAATATTTATCGTTTTTATACATTTAGTATATTTCCCAGAAGATACGGATAATCAGCTTTTTCATACAGGTGGTCCTCCCTTTTAGTCCGGATCTTCGAGGGTTCAGTGTACAGTAGGTCCTCGTATAACGTCGGCCCACTTAAAATTGTTTTGGTACTACGTCGCTAATCTTTAGATAGCCAAAATTCGTTGAATGTCCTGATGACTCGGTACAACGTCGTTTTGAGTCGTCACGGACTACTTTTTACGGCGCATCACCCTCTCTCGTCTGGACGCGCTACGCTCTTTTGGCTCGGCAGTCTCAATGACTCACCGCCCTCCTCCTCCGCTTCAACCATACTCCTCCCCTCCCACCATCCGTCTCCTCCACTTCACTACCCACCACCACACACTCTCTCAACCACCTCCGCCCATCAGTGAGTACCAGTACAAACTTAGTACAGGTACTCCTCAACTTACGACATACTCGACTTACGACAACCCGGACATACGACCGCCGTGGTCGTATTTAGTATTTTTCAAATTACGTATTTTCTAGTACCGACGTTAGTGATCGCGCTGTGCACTGACAAAATTTTCATTTGTAATTCCCTTTAAAATGGCTGGCAAGCGTAAAAGTGAGAGTTCTCGTGATGCTGAGAAGAAAAAGGGACACCCATTTTAGAATTTCTATGTATTATTTTCGACTTACGACCTGGTCGTCGGGACGGAACCCCGTCGTAAGTCGAGGAGAGACTGTAGTTGTATATGTATGCACTATTTTCTAAAGAAATGGCAATGATTTTCTGTACATAAATGTAATGTATTTCATGGGGCAAAGAAAGGCTCAGGAACGTAACTCCCGTATTTTATCGATTTCTTATGAAGAAAATTGATCCGCTTAACGTTGCTTCATATAACGTCGCATTTCTAGGAACGTAGCCCCGACGTTAAGCGAGGACTTACTGTACTTAAAATAATGTAAAAATGTACCCCTCACCGGGTTAGCGAAAGATATTCATGGATTTGGCAATTCGTGGCCACTTTGAGACCCAAACCCCCGCAAATTTTAAGGGCATGCTGTGTATACTGCATAATGCTTCTCACCTGAAGATCCATTTCCCTTTGCTGCACTTCACGTATTATTCTATCAAAGGTCGACTGTTGACTGGACATTCCTGATACTTGTGTCCTCAGATGATTCACCTCTGAAGAAGAGATCAATTTGATTATTAATAATATAATTGATCATCATGACTTCAAATTGCTTGGAACCAAGAGTCCTTTGGAGAATCAATAATTCCGGAAATTTTATATACCCAGTAATTACTCCAGGAATTTACAAAAAGTGGGAGAAGTAGAAATACAGAGATAGAATTAAGGCAGAGTTAGGTCTTGTCCAAAATGAGTTTTGCCAATGTGGATTTGATCATACGTTTCACCTTTGGCAATGAAACCTCTTTATTACGAAATTCATGTTCTCCCCTCCTTTTTGCTTAAAAATAAGAACATTAATAAAAAAAAGAAAAGAAAAATGATGGAATCTAACAAGAATGCATCATGGTGGTTTGTTTTGATTTGAGCCAATCAGAATGAATTGCCCAACTCAGAACATAGCACACGTCGCAAGTCAGCTGTGGCCTGTGACAATACAGTATTACTAACCTCTTTCTGCATCCTTGGCTCGTCGCAGAACCTGACTCATCTCTTGGTTAAGGCTTGAAACTTCTTTCCGCAACAAGTTTGTCTCACTATCTATTGAGCCAGTCATAATTCCATTGCTGCTGTAAAAAAATTATTTTTAACCCTTTTATGGTTTGAAAACCTTGTAAATGCATGGAAAAGTAAGATCTTAATTTTTAATTTAATAAACCCTTGACTTACATGAGTTCAGTCTATGTGATTTCTAATACACATGGTTTAAGCCCTGAAATATAAATACTGTACTTGATCCTCATTGTATTTAACCAATGTTGTGTTACTATAGTGTAATTGCAAAAATACTTTAAAAAAATTAAGAAAAAATTTAGCTCTTGCAAAAAATAAAAGATTGATCCTGAAATCTTAAATCAAAACTGAGCCAGTTCTAAGCAGCTTTGTATGGGCAGCAAGTTCATATGTTATGACCCCTGGCCCCAGGAACCCCAACTTGTGGCTGGGATATACTGTATATACAGTATATATTTTGTTTCAGAAAATTATTTGGCATCATTTTGCCACAATAATTTTTATACTTACAGGCAGGTCCTGCTTAACAAGGAACATGCATCTGAAAAATGCTTGTCAGGAGAATTCTTGTTCAATGGGAGCCAATTTCTCATCTGATCTTACGTTAAAAGGTGAAATGTGTTCTGGCCAAAAATTTTCAATTCAAAACCCCATTGTATAAACATACATGTGCCCTAGCCCAAAGAATTTTTACCTTGCAACTATGGTGCATGCATATTAATGCCTCTATAAATGGTAATACAGTATGCAGTAAAACCTCAATAAATTGCACTTCAACACTGTATATTAGAATTCTCTTTATTCAGACTCTCTGTGGTGCTCTGGAATGCCACTCTACAGTATATATATCAGAAAAAAAAAAAAAAAAAAAAATTCCCCCAAATTGTAACTCAGTCTGGATGGTTTGTGTGTTTGTATGTGCATGTCAATTGGCACATGCCTCAGTCCGAGTCCCACATTCATACGTATCGCCAACTTGCTGCGCCTCACTACCTACATTCATTTACGTGAACTTTTAGTGGTTTACTATAAACTTTTTGTTTTGTGATGACTTTCTCTACCTCATCAATGTCTTTTGCCTCTACAATAATACCCGTGTTAAGTTCGTACAGTTAACATTAAGTATAGTATGCACAGTGAAAAGAGCCACATACAGTACCTGTATTGTTTAACCCATAAAAGGTCACATTATTATACATACATGATACCCCCCTGGTCAGGAAAAATTCAATTTTTGTTTTATAGCCTAAATGCCCCAAAATGACATAAGAAAACAAGAAATACTAGTAAAAGTGGCAACTCGCCTCGTTTAAAAGCGCTACTTGGCATTTAAATCATGCCACCCACCACAGCCGGCCCAAGTCAGTGATAGGGAGGATATGGACTTTGAGGGGTTTGACAAAGAGACCCTGCAAGCCTCTGTGGTGGATAGTGATGCAATTGATACAAGTGACACAGGTGAGGGCCAATAATCTGCCCTCTGCCTCGGAACCAACCCCCCATCCCCGTGTGCCCAGCCATCTTTTCTACTAACGTAAGTGTTAAAAAACCTAATATTATTGATATTTCTCTTAAATATTAATTGTGTGTGCATACCATCATAAAATTAAGATGTTATTTTTACTACAACGTACGTATTGTGTCGGAAAAAGTGTTATATTTCTGTTATTTCGTTTATGCTTTTCTCGTTTCACCTTGGGACCTCCAAGGTTCAACTGACACGTAAATGCAGACTATACTGTGCATATATATATATATATATATATATATATATATATATATATATATATATATATATATATATATATATATATATATATATATATATATATATATATATATATATATATATATATATTGATAAAATCACCGTGTGATTTTATCAAGATTTATCTTATCCACGTTTTCATTGAGGATCTACTGTACATGATATATATATATATATATATATATATATATATATATATATATATATATATATATATATATATATATATATATATATATATATATATATATATATATATATATATATATATATATATATATATATATATATATATATATATATATATATATATATATATATATATATGAACCCGACTTCCACTGCTTGGACTTCTCGACCGTCGGACTTACGACCGCACTTGATTGTGACCATTTTTTTTTTAATTTATTTTTCAAATAGTCTGCATTTTCTATACAGAAACGTTTCCAGTTAATGTAGTCTCCATGTATAATTAGAAAATTATGGGGCCCCATGCATTCAGCTGACTACATTAAAAGGTAAGTGCTCAGTCACACTGTATCCATTCCTCATTATTTATTACTTATTTCCTGTACTGTATCCATTCCTCATTATTTATTACTTTTACTGTACTGTACTTCATTGAATTTTTATTTAAAAAAAAATTAGATTTTTTGTCGGACTTCGACCATTGGACTTCGACCTGGATTTGGGTCCCCGAACCGCGTAAAGTCGAGTCTACTTATATATATATATATATATATATATATATATATATATATATATATATATATATATATATATATATATATATATATATATATATATATATATATATATATATATATATATATATATATATATATATATATATATATATATATGCAAATAAATACCGTATATCACGGCCTATAAACGAAATTTGAACATTAAAAAAATCTGCCCAAAGTTGTATCTAAACCACCAAGTTTAAAATTCTTACCTCTTAAATATTATGGTTTAGTGTGTCAAGAGTGGTGATGAAAACATCGTAAGCCACTCACAAGGTCTTACCACTAATTATTTTTATACTGAAACTTCGTTTGGCAAGCTGGATTCAAATTAAGATTACCGGTATATTAAAATAATAAAAATGTATTATAAACCTGTCTAACATACCGTAAAACAGATTTATACCCCTGTAATAAACACAGCTATCATCACACACCCTCCCCACGCCCCCACCCCCCACCCCCATTTGCCAGTGAGAGACAAGAAAGGAAAAGTGCATTAATTCTTGAAACTATCGAGCGGTTAATTACAGACGCTCAAGTGACGTCACTAGTGTTTACACTACACCAGCTGGTAATATTTGATGCCATTACTTGAAGTGAATTGGCATTTTAAGTAACTAACTATAAATAAATACAAAATTAAAAAAGATCAAACTGAAATATACTGTATGTATGTTGTGTTGTCAAAGTAAGAGGAACAATTGTGTAAGTCACGTAATATTTTTTCCTCAAATCCTAATGAAACACTACTGGAGAACATTCCTTTGTCGCAAAACAGTTTTATAAATTAAAAGAAATAATTACAGTGTGTTTAATATATTACAGTATATTATAAATAAATAAATAAAACAAATAATTGGTAAATCTATTTAAAGTAAATGGAAAATAAGCAAACATGTTATTACAAAGACCTTCCGTCTGGCTCAGGGTGAGATGGAGAGATAACAAGCTATTTATAGCCCATTTGAAATGAGTACCCTAATGCACCATAAATAATTCATTGAACATTCATTTTTTGTACATAGTATTCAGTATATATATATATATATATATATATATATATATATATATATATATATATATATATATATATATATATATATATATATATATATATATATATATATATATATATATATATATATATATATATATATATATATATATTTATGTATGTAGTAAGTACATACTGGTAACCTTTTTCCTCAAATCTAATGAAACACCACAATTAGAATACGGTGGTTGCTTTGAACCACATGTTGTATAAATAGTCACACCACCGAGGCGAGGAACACTCCCACCACGCTTCAGTGACGTCACTAGTAATTTACACTACACCAGCGGGTATAATTGATGACATTATGAAGTGAATTGGCCTTATTTTAAAAAATCAAGGATGGTTGTAAGGACTACTGAGTCAGTGGTAAGTGTCACATTGGATACTGGTCTTATACAGCAAATAGAAAAAGCTACTTTTTAAATGGAAATTTGAAGCGTCTTATGCACCCCATTATATAGGCCGTGATATACGGTAGAGGGCATGATCTAGGAAGCTGATACAAAAAAGAAAAACAAGTCTGTAATTCACACTCAGGTGAGTACAGACTAGTCTGTACTCACCCTAATGAATGCTAAAAAAGAAAAATTATATATATATATATATATATATATATATATATATATATATATATATATATATATATATATATATAAATTGATCCGCTTAACATTGTTTCGCATAATGCCGCGTTTTCAGGAAAGTAACCACGAAATTAAGCGAGGATGCCCTGTACTGTATATTTTAGAGCTGCAGTCCTGTACCCTACATTTCCCACTGAAATACATAGAATGTTATAATGCGATTCAATATTGCACAACAATTCTCGGTCCCACTCTCACGTTATAGTGATCGTCCACTGTACCAGCATCTCGGAGACAAAACAATCTCTGAAACTAAGCACTTTTTTATATTTTATTTTGCACACTAGTCAGTACCCTCGCTTTTGTATTTGTTTTGAGAAATTTAAAGTGCAGCACATCTGGTTAGATTCCACAAAGCCTTTTGAGGGATGAAAGAAAAGCTGTGAACAGCGCAAGTGATACTGGCCTGTGCGGCACCCAGAAAATAAAACCTGCTAAGTTGTCTAAGCTCACTAGCTAGCCAAGGTAGGTCAGTCTGCCACTGACTTCACCTCAGAGTACAGTGTAGATTATGAGTCTGAGTGCACCAACTCCACAAATGATAATACAAACAGGTTCATTAAAAATTTTGCTCATAGCTACAAGCTCACTCACTGAATTTTATACCATAAAAAATGTACTCATTAAACTATATTCTTGATCATTGGTTACTCATTCTGTAGGAGCTGCCTACTGTAATAATAATAAAATTAAAGGGGGGGGGACAGGAGAAGCAGGGTTGGAAGAAATCATTACAGAAATTTTTTTTGTGTTCCAATAATTGGCTTAAAACAATTAACCCATGGGCTTCGGTCTGTGGCTGGTACCCCCTACCAAATGGGTACAGGGGGCCCCCCCCCCAAGCTCGCAGATTTTTATTTCGCAGTCCTCTATTACTTGCGGATGACACCCTGGATGCACCCAAAAATGTCTGTGGGTAGTTTTAAAGTTGCCATCATTTTCGCGGCTGGGACAGGGGAGCCATTCGTTCTAGAGACAGTAATTTCCTTTACCTGTTTTGTATATGTGTGTGTGTGTAGACACACACACACACAAAACACATACAAATAAATAATAATTGGAAAATCCTCTCACAAATAATCAGAAACAAATTTATAAAAAATGCGACAGTCTACCCTCAAGTCCATGCTTTATTAATAAAGTTATAAAGCACAGACTTGAGGGTAAACTGTCAAATTTTTAATAAATTTGTTTCTGATTATTTGTGAGAGGATTTTCCAATTATTATTTATTTGTATGTGTTTTGTGTGTATGTGTCTACACACACACACACACATATACAATATACCTGTAGGTAAAAGATGTAATTGTCCTAAAGGCAAACACATAAAGGGAATATACATTTCTTTGTACACAAGTAAAAATGTACCCCCCCCCTCCCCCAAATGTTATTTACGAAGTTGGCGATTCGGCCATTTTGAGAACCTAACCTAACTACCAAGTTGAAAAAACTATAGTTGAACTCAGCAAAATATATATACAGTACATATAGTATATATACTTGTGTAATAGAAATATATATTTTATATTTGTTTAAAATGTCCGCACACCAGATATCCTGATTAATTAATGACGTTGCAGTGAAAGGGTTGGAGCCTTACCTGGTACTGCCATCAGTACTGGGTGGGGCTGAAATATTTACATCAGTGGGAGTGTCTACTGTCACATAGGCATCAGTGTTGGCTGATCCTCCACTGCCTGAGCCACAACTACCACTCTCTGTTGAAAGACACAAAATTATAAGAACAAGGTAATTGAAGTTGATGAATCTAAAATAAATCACTTCATTAAATCAACCAGTGTTTACCATAAACACAATAAGAATGCTTGATGATAGGCACATATCATTTACAAGCAAGAAGACAGGAACTAATAAGGGTGCAGTATAACATATTACAGTACATTAAAACAAAAAACCCAGGTATTTAAAGTAGCTACTGTACAGGTGTAAACTCAAGAATCTGGCATTAAAAAAATCGGCTCTCCTTGAAAACTGTAAATTTTTTGCATTTGAAACATTTTTCTATTAATCTAGAATTATCCCAGAAAACAGTTAAGAATCCAGGAATAATACACAATACATGCAGTCCCCGAGTTACGAATGGGTTACGTTCCTGGATCCTGTTCATAAGTCGGAACAGTGTTAATTCCATAGTCTAGGGGACTGCCCTGTATTATTGCTTTATTTGTTACAGTGCACCGATGAGCTGACACTACTGTCTTTGTTTATCCATGTAAACACAGTCTTTTAGTTCTGAATGACACGCGTATGGCTTATCATTATCTGTGCCATATTTTCTTTAGTATTATCCCTCAGTTATTATCATAACGTCTCCCAAAAGACCAGTTCTGTAAGTGATTAAAAAGTGCACAGTCTGGAAAATGCAAAACTTATCATTCTCTGTATTGAAAAATTTCTAGTGCTACATAAACTTGAGAAGGGAGCCTCTGTTGAATATGGAACCTCAACAATTTATATCATAAAAAAAAAATACTGTACATTTTAAAAAAAAATCTTATTTTTTATTTCATAAAAGTTCTTATTCATCATCACTTCTACTATACATTAAACACAAACAATAACTTTTTGGAAAAATACAAACAATAGTCAAAATATCTGTCAATTATGTCAAAATGAGATTTGCCTTTGCTGTCATTATGAAAGTGTACCCAATTAGAAAATCCAGCAATTTGGAAATTAGGCAAAGGCCAGACCCTAAGCATCCTTGATTATTGAGGAGACACCTTTAACAAGCATGAACAATTTTGGGTCGGCGAGTCATTAACAAAGCTACGACATTTCAATCCAATTACTGTACCAATGTCAATTGTAGCAGAGCCTGGTGTCTCACGTCCACTGAGGGCCATTAATGAAGATGCAGATGACACAGATGACTGACGGGAATGTCCCAGACTGCTGAGGGTGGAGATGGTCATGGTGGTGGAGGAAACCATCTGTAAAATTTATATTGCATTAAATTGCACCAATGTATACACTGAATCAACCTGGAGGAGGAAGAGATACAATGGTATCTATATCTTTAACATAGGGATTTTGATATAGCGGAACCTTTCTTTACTGGACACGGGATAAATTTTTATTGGTCCTTGCAGCAAACTCACAAAAACAATAGTCTCATCAGACAATCACGCTGGTTGGGAGGCCTGAGGTGTTTTGGGTGTGGGTTAGGTGGGTGGCTGGGTGGTGAATGAGTGGAGTAGTATAATGTATCACCTCCTCAAATAATGTCAAAATTACTTGGAATACCAAGGTCTCCACATTATGTAACTCGCCCAAAATTCACTCTGTCACACTGCAACGGTGGGGCACCATTGCACTCACTACTGTACAATTAATTTTTGTCACTACATGACCAACATTCACTTACTAGACCAACTTTCAATAAAAAAAAAAAATCCAGGAGTGCTTGTCAGCAAATACATTAAGTCCATTGACTGTGTACCCATAAGGAACCGGGTCTACAACAACAAACATGGTTTCATATCGACACACCTTCCTATGTAATGTTGATATAATGGTTCAAATACACTAAAGAGTAAATCACCTTCTACAAGGTTAGCCAAATTCTGATAACCTCAGAAAGACATAAATAATCCAAGTAGCTACCTGTATGTCATAATATACAGTATAATTTACTGATATTTGACAAACTCACAGGATCAGACTGCTGAGTAGTCATGGTAGTTTGCTGCTGATTCTCCTGTTGTATGGGACTATTAAGGAAATCCATCAATTCTTCTTCTTTGTTGTTGTCCTTTTTCTTGGAATTATTCTTTTTTACTGTTGCTTTTGGGGAGGAAGTAAGGGAGGTTCCTTGTCCTGTTTGGAGTTTAGTCCCTTGAGCTGAAGTTGAAGGCCCACTAATTCCATAACTACTCAAGTTGGATGGTACACTGGATGAGCTGTGTAACCCTGATCTGTTGAAGATGATAAAATGTTGCTCAGGCAGAAATTACTCCATATGTAAGGTTGACTCCACACTTTTAGACCTACTGGCCAGTTGATTAGTCAAAGTATATCTATATTAGCTTGTTTTCAATTTCATTTGTCAGTTTTTTCTTTGTCTTTTAGGCCCATTTCCATTATACTGCAAGAATCACTATTTGACATCATCCTTTAATGCTTAATGACGTAACCACGTTAGCCCACTCAATGCCATGCTCTATTTGATTTATGTATTTTGCTTTCTCCATTGCTTCTTCTTATATATCACATATGAATACAGTACTGTACATGAATATGAAATTATTTGAGTTTTCATAAAAAAAAAAACCCTGCTTATGTTTGAGTCCATGATTCAGTTTATGGAGTTTTGTAATTTTTATCTAGAGAGCCCAAAGAAAATTACCTTAACATGAACCATAAGAAAGTATTCTCCAGTGAGAGAGGGAGAGAGAGAAAAAAGAAGAAAACTCCCCTTACAGTGCGATACACAGCAATATTCAGGCCCCATGGCTGGCACCCAGCAGAAAAATCACGAATGAGAAATACCAACTACAGCATTACTGTACTTAATTCAAGAATTTCACCCATCCTATGGTGATTGGAAGTTGGCAATGGAGTTGAGTACAATTAGTTAAACTATCATCTTCTAAGAGAAAATCCAAAAGAGGATTACTATTTCCTGTACGGGTAATTTCTCAATTTTTAATTTTTTTAAAATGTTTTAGAAGCTTTTAGTTACTACTGTATTTACAGGGGGTCCCCGGGTTACGAACAGGTTCCGTTCTTAAGTTGGATTTGTACGGAATACATTCTATATGCACACCGTACAGTACTTATAAAACAATTTTTAAAATCCCACTAATGTATATCCTAGCCTAAGTCCTTATATACATCTAAAATCACTTAATTTATGACAAATGAAGAAAAAAATTACAAAATACAGAAAATGAAAGTAAAAAATAAGTCATTGGGTAAATAAAATACCCTGTACTGTAAATTTCAAGTTATACCCCGTTCATATCGGCGGGGGTTCGTAAGTCGGGAACTCCTGTACAGTTGAATTATGGAAAGTTTAGTATCGTAATACCGGTTTCAAGTCAGAAAGGTTGGTATTGCTAGGCCAGTCAGGCACAGGTGGTTTGCTATGAGGCAGAAACCACCAAAACTTTAACTCGTGCACATCACATTCTTTAAATTCTCAAATTTCTGTTGATTGTGACCATATTTGAGCTACCGATATACCACTTCTGTACACTTCACAGCCAAGGGTCATAGTTTTTACTTGTTTCTGACAATATAGGTTGAAAACCTCTTTCCGAAATCCTTGGGGCCAGATGTGTTTCGGATTTCAGAATGATTTTTAATTTTTTTATACAGGGATTAGCCCACCCATGCACAGGTCACCGATCCACATTGGGGCCTGGGGGGCGAAAATATAATAATATTAATAATAGGGGTATGTGATGCTCCACAAAAAAGCTTTCGGTTTTCAGAGGTTTTCCGTATTTGGAATTTCAGATAAGGGGTTATCAACATGTACTAATCTAGCAATCGAAACATTTATACTGTTCTGTATTTCTTTTTTGCACTTTCTGTGTTGTATGTAAGAATGTGTGCATGTAAAAAAAAAAAAAAAAATACATACTGTATATCTATCCAAAATTATGAATTAAAAATAATCATAAGATAACAGACAACTCACAGGTGGGAATGGTTGGAAATTTCTCCGCCTGGCCCGAGAATTAATTGGTGATCATTTTCATTAGTTTGTTCCAGAACATAGCTGAATTTTGGAGCGTTCTAGATACTTGGAAGCCAGATAAATGGTCCCGTGCCTGTATAACTCAGGCTTTTTGGGGAAAACAAAATTTGGAAAGTTTAATAACTGTACAGTAGCTTAAACAGCAGTGTGATAAACACCAAGCACAGTACTATACTCCCCAATAACAATAATAATAATAATAAACAAATTTGTTATAAACAGTTTCTAAGTTAAATGATTGATTTATTAGCCGGGCAGTCTCCCAGCTAGCTCGGAGAGGTGTAGCTGCCGCTGCTCTCTCTCTATTGGGTTCACAATACAGGTACAGCCCATTGCCTCCATAAATACTACAGGTTTATTCACTTCACACACATACCCACCCATGCTCTTTAGTTATCTTATTTTATAGTTTTATATTACATTTTCTTTATTTGTAAGCCACATTGGAGTACTGTACAGGGTACTTGAAATGATTTTTCTAGAACATTTACAGTTTCATTACTTATCTTTGGAATGGATCTTCCTACCTTAAACATGACCTCTTATTTGGCTAATAAGATGCACGGTGATTTTTAAGAAAAAAAAAAATGTGCCTTGTGGGTTGGGAAATATGGTTGAGTTACCAAATTGCACTGAATATCAGAAAAGGAATCTAAATGGTGAAGGATTGATCATAAAGTCTCCTTTTAGAGTACAGTATTTTGGATTGAACAACTCTAGTATAGTAAATAAATTTGAGGGCTAAAATACTCATTCCCCAGGGTACTGACTCATGAATTCCATTTAAAAATGAAATAAAATTTAAAATTACGCTATCCTTCACCCACAGAATATCCACTGAGCTAGAAGAAGGTACTGTAGCTACTGCATCCGTAAAATGTGACTAGAATCTGAAGTTGTTGTTCTTGACTGAACACTTCACAGCAACATAAACAAATGAACAGGTCAGTTACCCTTTACCTTTGTTTATCCATGACGACAAAACTCGTGAGTCTTCTCCCTTTTTAGACCACCTTATTACTATGTGGACATTCTTCAGGGTCAAGGTATGAAGATGAATGATAACTGAATTTTCAAAGTTATTTAATTAATTATCAGATCCCAGTTACAGGTTAGCACCAACGTTCCCTCTAAGTTGTGTGATTGCATAAATAGATTTATTGATTTCGCTGGTTGGAACAAATCTGCACATTACAATACCGTGATATTGCTGCACATAACAAAATTCATTCTGCATTGACGTAAAAATTTAGAAGGAAACTTGGTCAGGACCTTGAGTCTGGGACTTCAAGCTTTTAACTTACTGACTTTCCTGAGTTGCTTGATCTAGATGCAAGGTTATAAAAATTATTCACCTTTCATGCTTAGTTGGAGGTGGGGTGGAACTGGCTGCATCGTACTTAAATGATGACTTCATTGTTACTGAACTTCTTCTTTCGTTACTGAGCACTGTGGCAGCCTCACTGTCCAGTTTATTAAGTAGGTTCTCAGCTCGACCTGCCAGGTCAGTTATCCAGGACATCTTTACAACTCTTCAACTGAAATGAAGTTTAAATAACTCATGATTAAGACTAATATCAAACTTGTTCTGGGGAAAACTTTCTAGTTCCATACAACAAGTGCCAATTTCACTACAAGTAAAAATTCTTCTGTAAATAAAAACATACCACCCAACAATGCCATGTTTACGCTTCAACAGTTTCTGTAAGCAGGAATATTTTATAGACATTAATGCTCTGTTTCTTACTCACTGAGACACACCAACTTTATAAAAAAAATATATAGATAATGACAAAGTACAGTACTCTATACAGTATTACATTCAGAATATCCCTTTCCCCTCACAAAACCAAAAAAGACAAAGATATAAAATGTTCTTAAAATTAGTTTGGTGATACACATGAGTGCTTCCCAGTGTCCTTTCCACATGATACATGTACTGTACAGTAAAGCCTCAAATAACAATGGTAATGTGTCCTCCAATATTGCAGTGAAAGGTGAATCATCGTTTTGTGAATCATTAACTTTAAATATTTACTGCATAAGAATAGGGTAAAGGTTTACGAAACTCTTATCACCTGAAGGAAATGTGCGATTTGGTTAAAAAATTTTTACACACTATTAGTATGATATTAAACACAGAAATGGAAATGACAATGCATAGAACCTAATAGAACCTGACCTAACAAACCCAGGGTTTGTTAGGTTTAGGACAGGTTCTATGAGGTTTTATGCATTATCGTGTTAATTTATGTGCTTAATATAATGCTAATAGCATGATATTAAACACAGAAATGGAAACAACAATGTATAGAACCTAATAGAACCTGACCTAACAACCCAGGGTTTGTTCGGGACTGATATGTTCACGATAAGAATAATCACAACAATGCAGGTCAAACAAGACATGTAATCATCACATGATGTACAAACTATAGATGACATAAAGAGAACAGAGATTGCATTTATTAAATAAACAAAAGAAGACTAAAGTGGTATAGTGGTAATTCTAAACTTAATAAAGATGCGTAATTATTTTATTAAAAGGATCAGAAGTAATGGAACACAATTTATAAAATTGGAGAGGAAGGAAAGGCGGTGGTACGGAATTAGGCGACTTACTGTAAGAAAATGACTGTGGCGTTTGAAATGCAACCTAGAGACATAATTTTAATGCCATAACATCAGTGTTCGCCGTGTTATTACCCCGTAATTTCCTTCATCTTTCATGCCCTGCCCACTAACAAGGAATTTAAGATCGTAGGATAGAGTACGTAATTGAAAAAAAAAAAAATCCTAAAAAATAAAAAAATATAATCGAAAGTTGTCATTTGGTATACTAGTGGAACACCCCGAGGCTCAGTACTTGGAACATTATTATTTCTTATATATTTAAACGACATAGATATCGGCGTAGACGGCAACGTAAGTAAATTTGCTGATGACTAAAATGGGGCGAGTAATTAAATCTGACGAGGATTCCACAAAACTACAGGAAGATCTATACAATTTTTTGAATAGTCTGAAAAATGGCAGATGAAATTCAACGTGGACAAATGTAAAGTACTTAGTCTAGGAGATGTAAACAGAGAAGCCAGATACAAGATGAGCAACGATGTTACAGAGAAATCAGACAGAGAAAGATTTAGGAGTATAATAATAAGTAGGAATCTTAAACCAAGTAAACAATGTGTATTTACTTGAAACAAGGCTAACAAAGTACAGGGTACTTGGGTTCATACAAAGGAGTGTTAGTTATAAGACTAGCGAGGTCATCCTAAAACTATATCTTGCGCTTGTGAGACCTCACTTGGATTACGCAGTTCAATTGTGGTCACCGTATTACAGAATGGATATAGAATCCCTAGAAAGAATTCAGAGGAGAATGACAAGACTAATCCCAGGCATTAGGAACCTTGAGTACAGAGACAGGTTAAAGCATCTTAATTTGCACTCCCTCGAGAGACGTAAGTGAGGGGCGATATGATCGAGGGCGAAAATGTAATAATAATAATAATTAGTTCATAGTAAATGAAATTAATACAAAAAATAACAATAATAATAACAACACTGAAAACAATAATAATAATAATTATAATAATAATAATAATAATAATAATAATAGAGAACCATAAAGAAATACAAAAATGATAAAAAGATCAATAGTGAGAAACGATATACATTATGTATGTTGTGTTGTCAAAGTAAGAGAAACAATTGAAACCCTGCAATTGTGTGTAAATGAGGCAGAAAGTCAGATCAGCAACCTGGGAATTGGTCACAATTTTCGTGATGCCATATGGCAGCAGGGTCTACCATTAGACAACACATTATGCTTCCTATGTATTCCCAGGCGGTAATACCTCCCAGTTTGATAGCTGCCTACTACCTACATGTGTGCCTTTCCAATATTACATAATTAACATACTTACGTGGCAAGAGACGTATATTCTCGGACTAGGTTATCACCACTATAACACGACATAAAACATATTGGGACTTAAAACTTTGAAATTAATGGAAGTATTATCACAGGTAAAAAGCCCGTGAAAGTACTATACAAATACAGACCGAAAACAATAAAAATGTGATGCCCAACACCTTTTCTATGTCCTCTGTTCTTGTTTGTTATGCTCCTGGGGGTGCTCTTGACGTGTCTCCTCTTCGTTCGTGTCATAACCTGATTCTAAAGTGGATTTTTCGTGACGTCACACACGGTTTCCATTCGTATTAATATTATCGTGAAGTATTGTGGCGGTGGTGATATAAACATATGCATTAAAACAAATCAAATAAAATGAATTATCTTTTCTGTATAAATACGTAAGGAACGGCAAGCTGACGAACTGTATTTACGTGAACGCCCTTTGTATGACGATCACAGTTGTGTAATAATACTCGTACTTAAGACTTGAAGTTGTTATGATAATAGGGTAAACTACAAGTGAATTATAATACCGATAACATTGGGACAATAATACTAACAGTAGTAGTAATGATAGTAGAAGTGTTAAAACAAGAAATGTTAAATGAGGTGCAGCATTGGTTGAAGCCACAAGTTCATAAAGTTGTCAGTGCATAATTTTTTTTGGTGTGAGAGTTGTAAGCTCTTGTGTTACGGGTAGGAATCTTTAATTTTATTTATTTTTATTCAACCCTGAGCTGTGATCCCTCGTGAGGCAGTCAGTCAGAACACCGAGATAAGAGAGCCGTTGCTCTGAGGTGCACAAGGAAATTTAGGGCAAGGTATAGTTAAGAAGTGGGAAGTACAGAAGAAGAATGATAGCAGGTGGGCTTTCCACCTTACGGAGGCTGGTTTACGACTTAACCAGTGACAGACGTCCCGCAGTCCACCAGGGGCAAGGGAGGTTAGATAAGCTAAGCTGAGCTAGTTTAAAGTGTGATCCAAGGGAATGTGCTGTTTTAGGGTTTGTTGGAGGGTTCCTTCAGGTCCTTGTGTTGCTGAAGGGATGTTCCTCATCTCTTGTGATTGGAGGGGTCACACCAGTGTAATGACCATGGTCGGACATGTTAGTTAACGTAAAATCAGACGATCCATATTACGCTCAACAGCCCACAAAACATGTAGCTATGCCTTCTTTATTGAGTCCCCCGTCTAAGATATCCGTTTTCTCATCACTTCAGTTCTTCGTTTTCTTTCAATCTTGGAATGCACCCGAGACTCCGTTATTCCTTAATATCTCGGGGCACGACACAAAATTTGAAATTGCAACTGTAATAATTGTATATGCTAAGTCAAATTAGAGATGTCTGATTACAGATGGAACATTCAAGATCCCTTGTGAGTGATGTTGAAAGCTTCAACTTTCTTTATTGTTAGTAAAAAATGTCAAATAAGTGAGTGTTGAATCTGCCAGTAAGAATGGAATCTCCTAATATCGTCTGTGAAAGATAGCCAGAAGTTTCCAAATACTACTGAAATTAGATAATTTTGATGCCCAAACCTCAGAGAATCTGATATCTGTAGTTTGATTATTGTCAAATGTCTATTTAAGAAAGCAATTAATTTCCTGAAAAGATTCTGTTAAACTCTATATCTCCAAGATCTCAACGTATACCCATAGAGGGCCCTTGTGTGTAGTTTGGCTGAGCCTGTAAAGTAGCGTTGTTAGCGTGTGTATTTGACGTCCATTTCACCTTTTCTTGACAAGCTCAATCTCTGATTAGATTATAAAAATAGACATAAGAAATTCACCTGACCCATGACACTGCTTTTCATAATTAAATGTACAACAGCTGATTTAAATGTAATTTTTGTCATTGCGTAATTAGCCTTTCTGGCATGCCTGGCGCATTGCTGAGTTGCCAGATGCCCATATATAAACGAATGCACGAGGAAGACTCACATGCTCGTGACTCTTCCTCATCGTATCTTCAGGTATGTGAACGTTTGTTTTAAAATGGTAATGATCATGTACCATGTATAATTAAAGTAAAGTAAGTATCGTCTGCATCGTTGCCAGACCCATAGTTATGTGTAGTTGAGGTTCGACCTTTTAACACTCGTGACTCTTCCTCATCACATCTCCAGGCTTTGTCTGTGGTGTCACCACTACCGAGGTTTGGTAGCCGCCTATGGGGAAGATATTTATTGAAGTAAGTCTTTAATATGGCGAGATTAGAATCTGAGGACAGGAGCACCAAGGGAACACCGTGCTAAGACACACTGCATTGAGTCTACCCCGGGCGCTACTAGCGAACGAGCTTCGGCTATTTGTGTAGTAAACAACCCCGCGCCCAGTGTGACTCGCCGGGTGCATTAATCTTGGTTATATGTACCAAGCAGTATTGTTATACATGATTGGGGATAATCAGCCGAAATATCGTTAACCCATGTTGAGTAGTGGACCCATAAATATTGATAATACCAGTAATAACGTTTGTTATGTCGGTTGCGAGTACATCATTCATATGTACTACGAGCTGAGTTCTAGTAAAAGTGCCATGTTGTTCATTCGGAAAAAACATGATGTTTCAAATAATATGTTAATTTGGGATATTGTCAAGTGTGTCAAATAACCACCTGTATTAACAACGAAATAATATAATGATTGTTTAATGTTGTAACCAAGAATTGAAGATTTATTTTGTTACAAAAAGTAAGACCTAAGGGTCCAGTCCTATCTGAGCGTGTAACATAACCATCTTATTTGCACAGAAATAATATAACAGTTGTTTGATGATGTAACAAGTAATTGAAGATCTACTTTATGAATTTTAAAGTAAGACCTGGTTTAGTCTTAGCTGAGTGTGTTAAATTGAGATCTTATCCACTCTTAATCTAATAAATATTGATTTCGTAAATGACGAGTATCACCGCTCTATTCCTTCTAACATTTGGTTCTCAGAAAATACTAATTAGAACTCACGTGCCAACAGCTCGAGTCTACCACGCTACCTAACAGTTCAATGAGATGTTATATTCTAATAAAAGTGTGGGTGGTGGCAGGCTACCGTTGTAAGTATAATAAGTGTTGTGGAAGAATGACATGGTTTTCCCAGACTAATCCATGGTTTAGAATATAACTAAGGCATGATAATAAATTGAGAGAAATAAAGATAAAATATAGAAATGAAATAAATAAGTACACTGAAATAAAGAAGAAAATATATAAAATCTAGAAAAGTAATATATATGACAAGAAATAAAGCATAAAAAAGAATATTAACTTAGAAAATAGAAGTAAAGAAATATAAGATAGATACATAGAGACAGAAAGAATTAGAAAATTAAATTATTAATATATACACAAGCAAAGATAACTAGAAAATCTGTCTTAAACAGCTATAGATATAATAAATAATAAAATGAGTAGAATGAAAAATGGGAAACTAAAAAAAAAACCTTACACTGTAACGTCTTCTGGAGCGAGTGGAGTGACCATGGCTGTCCTCACGCTAAGGTGCCCCTGTGAGAACTGAGATGAGGAAGTAAAGTACAGTATATAGGCTTTGGCACATATTTTCGTTTAGCACCTCTCTCGTTGTACGCTGGTTCCCCCTCCCTCATTTCTTTTTCAAGAGTTGTGGGATGCGTGTTATTCTCTCTTGCATACTTGTCAGGATGATATTTCAGGAACTGCTAACTGGATCCTTAAGCTACGAGTGAAGGACGAGGCGACAGGTTACATTATTCATAGCAATTGATACTGAACAAAAATTGTAAAAGTGCATTAGTAACTCAAACATTATAGCTAAGAATTGAAATATTCATGAAATGACCTGCTAGAGAACTTTGTAACAGCACCAGGTGCTTTTCGGTACAGGACATTTCGGAGTTTGTACCTGCTTAGTGCTTATAGTACAAGAGTTGGTAAAACAAAACAAAACTGACCTAGTGCCAGACTGGCTGATAAGTTTATAAATACAGTAGTGAGAAAATAAAGTCCTATGTGGTATACTGCCAGATTCTGGGGTCACTAAGTCCAAGGGGATAACTTAACTCTAATCTTAATTTCTAAGGGTCGCTGCCACCAGACCCCCTCTGGACAGCATGTAGCTCGTTAGGTTGCCTGCAGAGTGGACTAGGCATTGGGTTAGGTTTTCCATTGACCAGATCGATAAGGGTAAAGAATGGTGAAACCATAACATGTCTTAATTAATTTATTCCTTATAAAGCATACTGGTAAAAAACATACACATGGATGGGTCTTCCTCGGAAGAACAACGAAAATGTTGGTTACCCAGATGGGCACCAGACTCTTACATTAATGGCGTGTCATCCACCTACTTATTGCATAACAATCTGTGACCACCTTACCTCGGTCATTCCTTCTTACACTATCCCTTTACACATCAGACTGCTCCACCTGTATGGAATATAGCACCGTCGGTTATCATACATAGTAGCACCATCTCAACACACATGTTACACTCCATACCTGCAAGTATGGGACTCCTTGTGACTTTTAGGTATAACCAACAGGCACCTCGTTCGCACACCGCCCTCGGTGGGTAGAGACGAGGGCTTCACCTAGAGTCATACCAGCACTATTTCTACGCCTGGTATTATAGGTCGCTCCAAGTGACGACCGCAGAGTTTCTCACGGTCTCCTTATTTGTGACTACTCATTTGGAGTGGTGTGTTGGTAATCCACAGGTTCACAGTGGATTGGCATAACTGGGAGTAGTCACCACCTGTTGTGACGCTCAGAGGGATAATGGCGGCCGGGCGGCAAGGCACTCCGACCGCATGGCACCTGCGGTGATAGTAGAACGGGAAATACTCAGGGCATTGCCTGACGGGCGGTTATCACACCCCCTAACACATTACTATAACATTTATATATCCGGCAAAGCTTTAAACTGTAATAACTTCTATATAAACCTTAATTATAGGGCGGGATATAGCCCGCTAGGACACTGACCTGCGGTGATGGTAGAACGGGAAATACTGAGGGCATTGCCCGCCGCTCCTCACCGCATAGGCCTACAGTTTCCAATCTTTAATTTTTACTTTTATTTCTTACGGTTCTCACCTGAACACTTTTCGGTATATTGTCACTCATGCCGTATAAACACTTATTTTAATCCTAAATTACCCTCTAAGGTAAGGTCTTGGTTTGCTAGTTTCATGGGTAAATTCACTGGGTTATAATATCCACGCGCACCCCGGAAGCGGGTACATGA